TAATTCGTGTTTATTTCTTCCATAGTTTAGACGAACTTAAACTCCCTGTTAGCAAATAATCTTAGTTAACTTAACGATGAACCGTTTAAGCTTAACACCGGCATGGCGACAATAGAAGCAATGTTAGTCATAGTATTATATTTATATTATAGAAAGAAATAAATTTGCCTGTATTAAGTGGTTTCGAAATTATACGGCATTTGGTTTTCGGGATAATTTATATCTAACTTCTTCGGATGATAGGTTTCGGAATGCAAGTCGATAAAAGAACACTATGTTTCATAATTTTTTTCCAAGCTGAGTTAGGCGGGTTCCCCAAAAATCCCGTCAACCATAATCCTGAAGGTCGAAACCCGACATCCAAAAATTTTGACAAGAGCATAATCCCGATGGTCCATAAACCTAACAAACAAAAAACCGATTAGTCCAAAATCCCGATAGCCAAAATCCGACATATTAGGGTTATGGAATTACTAGGGTATGGATTAAGGGTAGTTAGTTAAATATAAAATATAAGATTGGTCGGGATTATTTGCTTGTCAGGTCAGGCTTATCGGGTTTTCGTGATTGTCAGGTCATGTCGGTAATATGAACTTTCAGGTATTCGTTAGTGTCGGGATTATAGATTATCGGGATTATGCTGTCAGTGAGTTTAGACCGTCAGGGTTATGGTTTTCGCGATTTCGTGATAAACCCGAGTTAGGTTAGGCTACTTAATCATTAATTTTAAATTATTTAATAATTGTTATTATTATTAACGTGATAATCTTAGGATATAGAACTAACTCATTATGTTTAAAATTTGATAAGTTTTTCAAACTAATAGCGCACATAAAATTTAAATATACATTTCAACTAAAAATAAAAAGGTCATAAATTCTTAAGAACAATACTATATTTTTAAAAAAAAATGCTTAATTAAATACCACAACAGAATTTAGTGGCTTGTTTCGTGTGGCACGTGTGGCTTGTATCTTACCCCAAAAAACTATTTACAATAAGCATCCACTTAAGGCAATGATGTTCGCAACGCCTATATATACAATTGCATGCATGCAATGCATCATCGGAATTAATTTACCGTTCTGCTTTAAACTCGACACATTTATAAATTGTAAAAAAAAAATGTCAAGTAATGAATCAATTGATTGGTTGGAGGAATATCTCAATTTTTATGAGTTTTCGGACTTCAACAATTTGCAGTCAATAGGAAGTGGTTCGCTTGGAAATGTTGTACGTGCTAATTGGAAAAGTACGGATCGTTTTTTTGCTTTGAAATCCTTTAAAAGCGACAATATAACTTTGGAAAAATTCGTAAATGAGGTATGTATATTCTAATGTTTTGATGAAATAATTAAATTTAATTTATATTAAATTCAATTTCTTTATAGGTAAAATTACATAAAAAAGTTAATTTCCATCCAAATATTCTACGAATTTATGGAATCACAAATGAAGGAACCGGTAAATTATATTAATGTAAAGTGACCATTGTTTAACAAAGCTATATTAAGTCAATTTAAGTAATTCTTTTTATATACAGTGAATAATTATTCTGTGGTTTTGGAATACGCTGATAGTGGCACATTAAATGATTATTTAAGTAAGCAATTTCATGTACTCGATTGGAATGATAAATTTCAGCTAGCTTTGCAACTTGCAAGTGCCGTAGAATGTATACATGATTGTGATATTGTTCATCGTAATCTGGTAAATATTTTTGAAATTACTATATTTTTACATTTATTATGCTTCGTAATAATAACATTATTTTAATAAATTAACTTATGTAGCATGCAAGCAATATACTTGTACATCAGAATATGATTAAATTAGCTGACTTCGGTTTTTCGAAAAAAATTGCTGAAGAGTCAAAGAATATTTCGAAAATAATGGGCGTACCCTCCTACGTGGATCCTAAAGAATTAGAAAATCCGAATTACAAATTAAATAAAAAATCTGATGTCTATAGCATTGGAGTTTTGATGTGTCAAATTTCAAGTGGAAAGCAACCATTTCATCATGAAAGTTTTGGTTTAAATTCGACATTATTAACCATAGGAATAATAAATGGAAAAAGAGAAACTATTATTGATGGAACACCTACGGAATATAGTAATTTATATCAAGGTAAATAATTTTTTATTTTTTTTTTAAAAAAAAATGAATTATAATCTCATTTCGTTAATTTAATTAGAATGTTGGAACTATGAACCTAATAAACGTCCAAATATTCAAAAAATTGTTTTAATCCTTAAATCAATTATTTCTTTTAAACAAAATATAATTGTTTCACAAGAGCATAAATTTACTCAATCAAGTATAATAAATTGGAAAAACGAAGAAACAAAAAAGAATTATAACAAAACCTATAATGTAGTTGAAAATAATGATTTAGATTCTCAAAATAATCTTATATTTTTAAATAAAAATGTAGAAGAAATAGAGATTAATCCAAAAGTTACTAAAAATGAAGATGCAAGAAATGGTAAAGAAACTGAAAATAATTTAGAAACAACCTTTTATTTATTTCAAAAAGCTGCTAAAAATGGACAAATAAATGCACAATATAACCTTGGTTTTTCATATTATAATGGTAAAGGAACAGAAAAGAATTTAGAAAAGGCATTTTATTGGTATCAAAAAGCTGCTGAAAATAATAATGCAGATGCACAAAATAACCTTGCATTATTATATAATAAAGGTGAAGGAACAGAAAAGAATTTAGAGAAGGCATTTTATTGGTATCAAAAAGCTGCTAAAAATAATAATGCAGATGCACAAAATAATCTTGCATTATTATATGATAAAGGTGAAGGAATAGAAAAGAATTTAAAAAAAGCATTTTATTGGTATTAAAAAGCTGCTGAAAATAATTATACAAATGCACAGTATAATCTTGCATTATTATATAAATATGGTGAAGGTACAGAAAAAAATTTAGAAAAAACATTTTATTGGTATCAAAAAGCTGCTGAAAATGAACAAATAAAAGCACAGTACAATCTTGCATATTTATATAAATATGGTGAAGGAACAGAAAAGAATTTAGAAAAGGCATTTTATTGGTATCAGAAAGCTGCTAAAAATAATAATATAAAAGCACAATTCAATCTTGTAATGTTATATTATAATGGAAAAATAACAGAAAAGAATTTAGAAAAGGCATTTTATTGGTATAAAAAAGCTGCTAAAAATAATTATGTAAATGCACAGTATAATCTAGGTTATTTATATTATAATGGTGAAGGAACTGGAAAGAATTTAGAAAAGGCATATTGTTGGTATAAAAAAGCTGCTGAAAATAATTATACAAATGCACAGTATAAACTTGCATTATTATATAAAAATGGTGAAGGAACAAAAAAAAATTTAGAAAAAACATTTTATTGATATCAAAAAGCTGCTGAAAATAATAATATAAAAGCACAATTAAATCTTGCATATTTATATAAAAATGGTAAAGAGACAGAAAAAAATTTAGAAAAAGCATTTTATTGGTATAAAAAAGCTGCTAAAAATAATAATGTAAAAGCACAATATAATCTTGCATCTTTATATAAATATGGTGAAGGAATAGAAAAGAATTTTGAAAAAGCATTTTATTGGTATCAAAAAGCTGCTGAAAATAATAATATTAAAGCACAATATAATCTTGCATTATTATATAAATATGGTGAAGGAATAGAAAAGAATTTAGAAAAAGCATTTTATTGGTATCAAAAAGCTGCTGAAAATGGATATATAATTGCAAAATACAATCTTGCAAATTTATATAATAATGCTAAAGGAATAAAAAAGAATTTAGAATATATTTCTGATTTATATCAAGTTACTGAAAATAATAATGCAGATACACAAAATAATCTTGCATTATTATATGATAAATGTGAAAGGACAGAAATGAATTTAGAATATATTTCTGATTTGTATCAAGCTGCTGAAAATAATAATGCAAATGCACAAAATAATCTTGCATTTTTATATAACAAAGGTGAAGGAACAGAAAAGAATTTAGAGAAGGCATTTTATTGGTATCAAAAAGCAGCTGAAAATAA